CACGAAAAATTTTTACTATTCGATTTTCATATAGGACTATATATAGTCTTGATCTACATAGTACACTGGATACCCCATCGTGGCGTGGTGGAGCCTTTAACTCCCCGAGGGAGTTATGAACTCCCAACGAGAGTAATAAACTCCCAGTTGGGGAAAGAAACTCTCAAGGGGAGTTTAAGACTGCAGGCTAATTTTACAAATATAAAAAGGGTGGGTTTCAGCTTTGAATAGGATAATTATCACTCGCAGTAGTTTGCAGTTTTAGTTGCATTTGTACTCGAGTATAATTCAATGTATTAAATTTCTGAGAGAAGCATTAATAAAGAGAACCCTTTGCCCTGTAACTTCGAAAGTTAATAGTGTAAATTAAACTGTCAAATCCGTAACTTTACTACTAATCTTAATTTCTCGATCGCCTATCACATGATTAAAATACTTCCCAAAGTAATACCATTTTGTTCACGATCGAAGCTAAATCGAATCCATATACCGAAGCTTTCCCACTTGACCGTAACACCTGCTGCATCTAATTTTAACCCAACCACTCATTAACAACACTGCTTTTATACGTACGTACGTACGGTGCAAGCAATCTAAAAACCACTCCTTATAGAGACAATTATAAACAATCTATTTCCTAAATTATTAGCATCAATAAAATTGTACATAAATACAGAAACACTTTATTGAAGTTGATAATTTAAGAAATATTTGATTTCAAAGTGCAACTTGATTATGCACTGGGCAGACCACCTCTTCAAAGTTAATGTACCGTTAAGTAGGCATAATTAAGTTGCACATTTGAAACCAATTATTTCTTAAATTATCGACTTCAATAAAGTATTTATGTACACTCTTTATTGATGCCAATAATTTAGGAAATAACTCGTGTATACTTGTCTCTATAAGGAATTTATAGTTTTTAGATTTCTTGCACCATACCTCGAAATGTAACCATATTATCGAATATATCGAATATTTCCTTTTGCTTATTTATTTCCATTTTTATATTATCGGTACATAGATTTTATAACTAGATTTGTTTCTTATACTTTTCCATATTAATACATATCCCTATATACATACCTTATAACTTCATAGAATTCTATACTATGATTGACTGAGGACGCGTGAGGTCGTTCAATAATCCAGGCCCAAATAGAATAAAACGTAGTCCTATCAATTTCTCTTTTTCCATATTAATTAATGGATGACACTTTAAAATAGTGCTGGAACCCATTAGGGCTAATTTTTTTAAACCCCAAAATTTAAAAGGCATTGACTGATCAGTTGGGGCTGGATTGTCATTTGACAAATATTATATCGTTGTTTATTACGTAGCATTATATTAAAATGATAAATAAACATGCAAATGATCGATTTCTTGTTGATTTGATTGGTACAAACTTTTAAAAATTATATACTACGTATCACAAAAAAAAGTAATCGGTTTAAGGGTGGGGTAATCGGTTAGACGCCGATTCTAATATACAATTTCTTAAATTGAGGATACTTTATAGTGACGTACATGTCAATTGACTGTATAATATCTAACAAAATATTATAACTAAGAGATCATTGATCAGAATTTGAGTGACCAAAAAAAAGGTCCAATTAAACAAATTAGCCCTGACGCGTAAATCAAATTCCGAACACAAGGCATTTGCATATTATCGTCAGTCACTAAACCCAAGAATAAATTGATGTATTCAAATTCAAGAAGTTTTTGTGCAGGCGGCAATTTTTTTTAATTTTCAATCCTGAAAAACTGCTATAAATAATCCAAGAATACCATATCAAGTTAATCCTAATAAAGGTAACCATTCTGGTATGATGGCTTAAAGTAATATAAAATCTGTCATATTTCTACTTTTCGAATAACTTGGTAGTAGTTCATTTTGAAAACTAACCAATAGACCGGTTTATGGATCTGTCTATGGACCGGTTAATGGGCCACGGTCCGGTCCGTGGTCTATGCTGGGACCTTGTCTTTAGGACCAAGACCGAACTAGATTTGACCAGAATATTCCTAGCAACACATCATTTAGTTCAGAATAATGATGCCATGATCTAAAAAAAGCTATGCTTGTCTCCACTATCCTAACACCGTTTGGGTTCGGAACTGCTAATCCATAAAGAATGAAATTCAATCACGTTTAAATTCTGGACACGAAAAAAAGGATGTTCGAAGTGTGAAAATTTGAAGAAGTTCTTGTAGATTTCGAATTCACATGAAACAAAAAAAAGAACAATTAGTATAATTAATATAGGAAATTCAAATGAAAAATAAACATATTACAGTATTAATCCGTAACCTGTGGTCTGGAGTTGGACTAGGATCGTGATCATGTAACATATTTACGTTGCATGAATAGCGTGATCGGTATTTATATATTAAAAAGTTTGATGTAGATAGTATATGTATAATCGGGTAATCGATATATAAGTGCACAAGATAGGTTTAGTTATCCGTAGGGTTGACTATTAGTAATAAATTGTGCGTTGATGTCTTTGTGATTGCTGCAGTAGTAGTACCAGAAAGATACGTCAGTCCAATAAATTAGTCAAGTGAACCAAAATTGCGGTAAAATAAGGTGCCTAAAGTTGTATTTGACTTAATTAATCCCTAAAATTAGATCATGAAAATTTAGGCCAACTTCAGACACGACATCAATATCATAATTTCATCAAGAACGGATCAAGGTAAATGATACAATGTGTGTTTCAAACAAACTATTAAACTCAATTTTGTTTTATCCTGGTTGTGAATATTTAACATTTAAATTAACTATCAGAAGTTCATTTTATTCACGATAATTATGTAGTATTGAATGTTTACGATTTATAAACCATTGAGCTATTCAAGTTCATCAATATTTCTATTTATAATTTAATTTTATTCGCAATACTTTAGTATATGAAGAATATTTATTAATCAAAGTATTTAAATAAAGTTATTTAAGTTCATAAACATTTATTAATAAAATTTCATTGTGTTCGTGATAATTTGGAGCATAAACGTAAAGAACGTTTATTACATATTCAAACAAGTTTTTCAAGTTGCAAACATCTACTATTAATTTAATTTTCTTTATGATATTTTGTGTGCAAGTCTAAAAAATGGTTGTCAATTAAGTATTTAAAATATGCTATTTAAGTCTATGAAATATCTATTTGCATTATGAACATACGATTTAATATATACCAAATGATAGATTATTAAAAGCGTTTATTATAAAATGCACATATGGTGGTTTTGCAACTCTTATACGTTTTTTTTTTTTTTAGATTTTCTAAGTTTTTATAAGTTTTGTATATAAAATTTTTGATACAATTTTTTCGTGTTAGAGAGTTAATATTTAGGGTTAGAGTTAATGTTTAGGAAGGGTTTTGGGGCATAGAACATATTCAAGGCGCCTCGCGCTGATTAATTAGTCAGTTTTCGAGATAATATATGCATAAGTATAATACACTATAGCTACATTACGTTTAGTAAAAGTTATTAAAAAAATTATCTCTTTTATATGATAAAAATAATCAGCTACAAATGAGTTTTTATATGACATAGTATTTCAATTCAGTCAATTGTCTTTTTGTATTAATGGGTCAATAATTCTAAAACTTTTCAAAGATTTAGCGTTATTTTTTTCTGGGTCATTATCCGGCTTGATGATCTTGATGATCTTGAATTTGTTATTGTCAATCTCTTCGATCTCAATCTCGATTGAATTTTTACGAGCTTTCCAAAATTTCCATAAACTCATACATTTTTCGACGGCTCTAGCTTTGTATGTATTATTTTTGATTTTTTCGATTGGTATTAATAATTCATCCTCCGTATTTTTACCTTAGAATATAATAGGAGAGAAAACAATAAATTAATTATTGAATAATCTAGTGACTTCGCCTTGACCTTTAAAGCAGATAATTCATACTCAGTACTTTTACCTTCAAATATAATAGGAGAGAAGACAATAAATTTATTGTTGAACAATCTAGATTTAGTGATTTCGCCCTGACCTTTAAAGTCGACGTTCTTATCAACATCACATAAATAAGCTTCAATGTTAATAGTATTTTCGGAATTAGTACTGCTAGTTGAATCATTATTGCAAGCTTTAACTTTATTATCATCGCTGATCTTAGTGTTGTCTTGATCAAGTCCATTGGTATCTCTGGAAATAGTGTTATTAGTTGCACCATTATTGCCATATACTTTAACAAACTCTTCACAACTAATACTCCCCACACAATCGATCTCTGACACTAAATAAGCAAGCATCCCAACTCTGTTTAATCTACTTTTTGCATAAAAGGTTATGCGAATCAATAGGAATCCGACAATAGCTAAAACTGTGTTTGTTTGATAAGATGAATTGCTATTTACAACACCCGGATAAAACCTACATGAGCAGCGTATAATAATAAACCCATAATTAACATCCGCCTGTCCATTCTGACTACTTTGAAGTATTGACTTCTATTCAAATGATAAACATTCAAACAAACCCAAATGGTATAAAAGAGGAATATAATAATGAAAGCGATATATGATAACTTCAAGCTAAAGATATAAATATTGACCAAAAAGCTAACAGCCATAATATGAAAAGGTAAAGCAATAATATGGGTGCTTATGATACGCAATTTATACTTAAGCTTTGATTCAAAGCAGTTCCAAAAACGACCCTGTAATATGCGAATAATTGCCCAAAAAATAACCACCATGATATTTGCAACCAATATAGAAACTAAGATAGAATAATTAGTTTTAAGAGTATCTAGATGAAACCATTGCCCAACAAGTGGTAATAAAAAACACACGGCAAAAAGGAATAGATCATCTAAAAGACCAACAATATCATTATAACTGGAATTTTTACTGAAGAAAATAAATGCCAAGATTAACGCGGAAGGTATAAATGTTCCCAATACAAAACCATATGCAGTACTGACTACATCATCGTTAAACTTAAAAGGTGAAGTGTCTGCGTCATCCGCTCTAACGCATTTAATTATAAACAGAATATAAAAAACAAAGATTTTTGACCCAGAGGGTTTTAAGTTGCAAGTAACATATTGGTTCTTATCCATATTTGACATAGAAGTAAAATGAATTTCGTTTATAATCGTGTAGATTGGATAGTTTTAGTAAAGTAAAAGCTGAAGCAAAATGCTTTATATAAATACAATAATTACATGTAAGAAGGTTCCTAAATAAATGCTAGGAAACTTTATTTCCCATTCTAGGAAGGAAATGAAGGAAATCCTATTTTCCATTCTTAAACCGGTAACTACTTTAGAATATCCAAAACGGGATATTATATGGGGCCTTTTGCAGTAGTAAGGGCAGAAGCTACCCCAAAATGAGATTTGATGTTTTTATTGGATTCGGGTATATTTCGATGTGATTATCATTTTTAAATTATAAATGAAAGTCGATTTGCTTTATGAAAAATCGCGATAATGTAAAAGAAAAGTTGCACGAGGCTGAGCACATTACGAGATTACTCGATAGTCACCTATTATCTTTAACCAATCAAAATCGTGAAATTTGGATTGACCCGAAAATCAAAACAGGTGGTTATCTCAATATGAGAGATATTCGAGTTTCCGCCCTTTCTACTGCAAAGGCTCAAAATCTAAATTTATATGATTCACAAAATAATTTGTTGTACTAATTTGCAATGAGCAATAATCTACTATATAATGGGATGTTACGTTGGGGTATTGTGACGTCCAGTGGGAGAGACTTTGTATATCAATATCAATTTAACTCAGGGACATCAACATTAAAAGAAAAAAGCAAGTATTATTATATTTGAACACGTCAAGAAAAATAAGCAAAATCTACAACTGAGTAACCAACGTTCTCTATTTCTTTACAAGCAAGAGGTACTCCCAGAGTACTATCCACAAATCCAACTAAGAATCCAACTAACTAACTAAGAAACTAATGAACTAACGACCTAACTAAGACTAACCCTCTTTCTCTTTCCTTTTATACCCCAAATCCCTTTACGACCATTATTAAAGCAATTACGAATACTAAGTACTTATGACTATTAAATGATTACTTAATTCATGCACTGGCACTAATTACTACATGGCGACATTTCCCTACATTACATTTCCCTACATTACATTTTCCTGCATTACATTTCCCTGCATAACTTCATGCAATTGTACTCATTACTGCATTATTACCTTTCTTTGTGTAACAGTATTCGGTCAACTATGTTTGACAAAACTATATGCAGTACCATATAAAAACTAATTATTAAGGATTATTTTTGAATTTAGTAATCAGGATATTGATAAGGATTATTTATCACTTTTTATATATGCTTTAATAGTAAAAGATGACTTGCATGTTTTTAGATGTCTAGAATCAATTTACATTTTTTAATTATTTTAGCATCATTCTATTCTTAAACATGTTTATAACAAAGTTACGTTGAAATTTTTTTAACGTTGATATTTAAATTTCAAGTTGACTCTTTACAAAATTCTGCTTCGTATTGTGAACGATTCAAAGAAGATGTCTTCGTTATATGTAAAAAAATTTTTAATACTAGAACATAAAATTTTTAACGTAACTTTGTTATAAACGTGTTTAAGAATAGAATTATGCTAAATTAATCGAATAATTTAAAGCGATTAAGCGATTCGCTCTAAACATCTAAAAACATGCATGTCATCTTTTACTATTAAAGCATATACAGTCGTCCTCCTCTACAGTCACTTCCTATATAATCACACCCACTATATAAGAACCATTTTTTTGAAAAATTATTGGCTTAAAAAAACATAATACATTTTTTTTTATGGAAAACAATGATTATAGAGGAGGACAAAAAGTGATAAATAATCTGGTCACTATCCTGATCACTAAATTCAAAAAAAAAAAATCATTAATAATTAATTTTTATATGGTACCGCATATAGTTTTGTCAAAAATAGTTGACCGAATACCCCAATGTTACGTGTTAAAAGGGTCATTTTTACATATGGGCTAGGTGCTGGAAAAAGGGACGAAATTGACAATTTTTTCAAAAAAAATTTTTTACATAAGTCAATTTAAAATAAGATTAGGATCATTTTTTACTTAAAACTTCGTTTTGTGAATCTTTTTATTACATGATTAGCCTTCGTAACTTACAGCAAATTTTTTATCGAATGTACGTCTATTCAGAAATCAAATAAAATTTTTTAAAAAACTTGTCAAAATGGGATCATTTAACATGTAGCACCCCATATATCCCGTTGTTCAAAGACACTTCCATATATGAAATAACACCCTTGCATGTTTATATGATATTTTTTTTATTTCTTACTATCTAACCTGTCATTTAACGATGGGTTTAATGCCTAGTATATTATTAAATTTGTATTGATGCTAGATAACTGTTCTATGTTTTTTTTATGGTTTGATGCATATCACAATATTATGCGCATGAAATTTCCATTTTTGGTTTGATGCATATTATGCGTATTTTCGATGCATAACAATCTTTAATCCATATAATTAATGAGAATACACATTATTTGACCCATTACTTAACCCGAGCAAATTTAACGGCCACTAATCTAACGGGTTATCATTAAGTAATATGCATTAGTTATTATAATAACACGTCGAATGACTGCATAAAGGTCAAGTTTAAATTTTACGTGCAACGTTTCAATCTTCTTTTTTTTTTATAACTTGTACGTACGTACTAACCCAACGACTCGACGAATATGTTTATAAATTCGTATGTGGAAATTATAAATCATGTACGTACGTACGTACGTACGTTCGTACAATGATGAAGGAAAAACCAAATTATTTACTAAATTATCAGCTTTACTAGATAATGCATGTATAAGTACGCTCACGTACAGTACATACGGTAATATTTTAACCGTTATTAGAGCTAATAATTTAGGGTTGTTGTTGATAATTTAGGTAATATTTAAAATACGAATTATCCCGTAATTTTCTTGGTATGTCTTCACAAAATATTTGTAGTATTCTGGCTTAGAATCTGCCCAATTCGAAATCCAGATATCCCAATCCAGAATCAGGGCAACCCAATTTAGAATTCTTAAATGGGTTACCCGGATTGAAGAGTAAAGACCGATACTCAATTGAAGCTTGTGTACGTACGTAGGTAAAAATTATATGTGCGTAGTATTTTTTAAAAAAAAGAATGTCAAAATAATAGTTTACCTGATAGAACAAGGCTCTGAGATACTTATACAACCTACTATTTAACCCTTTAACCAGATTATTTAATGTCAAATATTATGGATAAAGACAGAAATTTTTCCATTATATTTCACGTTATATTCAAATGAAGCTGTTTTCTGAAGATATCAAAATATTCAATCCGACAATCCGAAATACGAAATCGATAATTATTAATGTTTTTATATTTCAATTTCCAACATAAATTTGACTCGACAAAATGTTTAATTCAATTATAGAATCAAATGGTTTAGCAGCAACGAACAAATAATAAAGGTGTTTAATATAAGTTATTTTAGTAAATAATGATCTTGCACATTTATTAGGATTAAGAATGTTTTGTATTACGTAATTATAAACAGGTGATGATTATATATGTTCTTAATATATCTAAAAACAAATTTAACTATTCGGACTTTTAATCATCACCTGTTTTAAGTCGGTGAAAAAGTGTTTAAAACGGTGGTTTTTTTTTTTCATCCTTAGCATTTATGGAGGCCAACAGGCTTTTAATTAATAATAACAAAGATTGTAATGCATCTTTAATAGTTATACACGATAAGTAATTGTCGGTTCGGGTAACCCGTATAAGAATTCTAAATCGGGTTATCCTGATTCTGGACCAATCCCGGTACAACAGATTTATGGGCATTTAATGACTAATACGTAGTGATCTGTATATGCATTATCCGAAAGGTACGAACGTACGTACGTACGTACGTATATTTGTTCCGCGCCATTTTCCAATTTATGTCAACTAGAACTATAGATACAAGCTTATGACATCACCTAGTTACGTCCTATACAAAAAATCGGTTTATAAAATATATAGAATGCAATTGAGCCGTAACTAATGACGTAAATAAGTCTGCATCTATAACTAGAACATGATCATGCAGGCGGCTTCGCCGCCCATGGTAAACAATCAAGATTATTAGGTTTTTATACTTTGTGATTAATAAGACAATTTGAAGTATAAAATGTAGATATTTTGCGATTACAAACTAATTATATTTTTTATTCGTATGTATTTTATTTTCATTTCAAAGTATCACATCACTTTTGTATTTCTGAACTTGGTTTTTAATAACTAATAAATATATATTTGAAAGAAAACTTTTATTAAGAAATCGAAGTTGTTAAGGTTACTAGTGTATGGAGTAAAAGCCGTAATTATATTTACTGCTAATCGATATATCAATACTAAGATGAATAAATTTGATCTGGGTGGCAAAAAAAAAAAAAAAATTTAAGTGGTTTATTTGTAAGCAACCAAAAATTAATAGTTAATTAGATAATTGAATACACATGACACATATGTATCTATTCGTTAAAATATAAATTTTTACGTAATAATTTTTAAATTTCGTTCAATTTCATATCAATATTATTTATTCTTAAATTCGTAATTTTGATTGGCTGGTCTGCATGTGATATTAATTTGTGATTGGCTGGAGAATTTAGGAAGTGATTTGCAGATCATGTAACCAACTACAGGAATCAAGTAGTGATGCGACTAGTGTTTGTAGTCGACTTAAGCTAACCGGTCTAGTCGATGTAGCCGCCTCCTAACTAGCTTAGTCGGTCGGCTAAGCAGTCTCGTGATTTTAATTATGCTATTGTTCGCGATAAATATTATTGGTTAATGAAAGTTATTGTAAGATTGCGTCTGATAAATTTATTGATCTGACCAATAATAAGCAGATATTTTGAATGCAAGCCCCTAAATGACTTAGTCGACTAAGGGCGTTCTCAAGCAGCACGCTCGATGTGATTAGCTAGTGATTGTGATAGTGCACAACCATTATAGTAATATTAATTAGACCATCGTTGAAGTTCAATAGGACGAATGGTAGTATAA